GAATAACTTTCATCTTTTCTTCAACTGAATACTGTTTCCGTGCTGTTTTGATGTATTTTAAAGAGTTGGCAGTCAAAATTAAAACTGCTGGATTAAAGATATTCTTCGTTCTTTATGACAAACAAAATAATGTGAATTACAGAATGTACAACTTTTTAAAAAATGTATCAATTGCGGTGTACAGCGTTTATTATGAGGTGGTAGAATCCACAGCTCAGTACTCACTACTCAATACTCATGAGTACTTTTAAATAGGCTACTCTTTTACTCTTACTCAAGTAGTTTTTTTGGACAAGTACTTTTACTCTACTCGCACTAGATTTTTTGGAAGGTAATGGTACTTTTACTTGAGTATATTTTTTCAGTACTCTTTCCACCACTGGTTTTCAGTGATAACATTACCTAGAAGTTGGGCATGCCAAAGTATTCATCTCCATTCACAAGAGAAAGTCTTGTTAATTTTAATTGTGTATATTTACTAAAAAGGCTCAGAAAAGAAGAGTACTCTGGAAGTTTGGATGACAATACAATATTTTTTCTCATGACAAATTTACTGGATAACTCCACCTGTTGTTGCTGTTATGATGAATCCTCTGATAACCAGGCTCTGGACAGTATATTTTTTCAGTATTCTTTCCACCACATCTGTGATACACGTTTCATGTGTTTCTTCATGTATTTCGCATGTGATTTTGTGTGCAGTGGTCTTTTTAAGACTACAGTCTGTTTCAATACAAGCAGACAGCTTACAACATAAAAATCTAACTTGTTAACCAAGGCCATTAAATTATATGTATATATATATATATATATATATATATATACATACACAGTCCTACCTGTTTTTGATTGAAGGTACGAGTTTAAATGGGACGTTTTGCTGAATAGAGCAGCGCACCTGTCCGTTATTATCAGAGTCTCTGTCCTGCACGTTAATGATGCCAACCTCTGTACCGGGTAACGCATTCTCGGGAACGGGACTGTTAAGAGAACTAACTACTATTATAGGGGTATTATCATTGGCATCAATAACGTCTATTATGACTGTACAATGACTGGCTAGCCCTTGACCATCTTTAGCTTGAATCGGTAGTTCGATTGAACTCTCCTCCTCAAAATCAATGAGTCCCTTTAATTTAATTTGTCCAGACATTGCATCAAGGGAAAATAATTGCCGGACAATTTCAGATAAATGACTAAATGCATATGTCACTTCTCCATTTTGTCCCTCGTCAGCATCAGTAGCGCTCACTGTCACCACTAAAGTATCTAGGGGAGAATTTTCAGGCAGACTGACTTTATAGACGGCCTGACTAAAGACTGGAGCATTATCATTAGCATCCAGCACAGTGACGTGTATGGCTACAGTACCTGATCTCGGTGGAGTCCCGCCGTCTACCGCAGTGAGAATTAATGTTACCTCTTTCTGCTGCTCACGATCTAACTCTTTATTCAGCACGAGCTCGCCATATTTTCTTCCATTTGCACCCGTTACTACACGAAGAAGAAAGTTTTCATTTTCTTGCAACACGTAAGACTGCACTGAATTCATGCCTATATCTGCATCGTGGACCTCATCTAATAAGTAACGAGATCCTTTTAGTGCTGACTCCCTTATTTCGAATTCAATAACACTCTCTGTGAAGTGTGGTGAATAATCATTTATGTCTTCAACATTGAGAATGAAACGATGCAGTTCTAGAGGACTTTCAAGGACAAGCTGCTGATTTATTACACATGAAGCTTTCTTTCCACAAAGCCCCTCTCTGTCGATTCTCTCCGCTACGATCAGTTCTCCAGTATTCAGATTAATGTCGCAGTATCGTTTTCTGTTACCTTCAGTATCAATCCGCGCTTTTCGAGATGACAGTCTGTTCACATCGAGCCCGAGATCCTTTGCTATATTTCCAATCACAGATCCGCGTTTCATCTCCTCCGGGAAAGAATAGCTCACGTCTCCATAAGCGGTGTGCGCCATCAGCACGAAGAACAAAAGGCCAAACATCTCAGCAGTGACACAGAACCTTTGGAATTCTTGAAATATTAACCAGAAATTTAAACCAGTAGTACCACGCACAAGAAAATAAGCATATAACCCAATAGAATAATGGACGTAGGCTAAATAGTCAATGTCGACGATTTTCTAAAAAGAGATTAGATGAAAGCCCTATATGACATCACAAGCAGGGTGGAGAGATGTGTACTGAAGACACGCTGTTTTGCAGGTGAACAGCGACACTACGAGTTAAATTATGAAACTGCATAATGTTCATATCTCTGACAGGATTGTGTGTGGGTTATAGCGAAAATCGTTTAAGCGAAACAAAAGCCGACAGCAACATTCCCTGATTTGGGAGATAAACACCACCACAATATTTATAATATAACCAGAATGAATGAATGAATGAATGAATGAGTGAATAAGCAAGCACATTGCCAGATCGTGATCTACATCACGTAAGAAAAAGACAGTAAATGTGAAATGACAGTGCACAGACAGCAACAAGAAAACATGCTCTATGACATTTATAATCAGACTAAAAGAACGTTTAAAAAGTTTCTGACATACGAAACTGCTTTTATAAGCCAATTTCACATAACTAAGTAATCGATGAAGAAGAATCACAAAACGGCTTTAAACCTTTTGAATCTTAAAAAAAGACATCGTTCGCCTCCGCATTAAATCCTTCAAGATCATCCACGGCAGACTGAGTCTTTCTCAGAGTCAGGTTAGCAGTCAGCGTACCTTCATTATAAGATGTGACAAAGTTGTATTGAAATTAGTCATAAGCTTATTAAAAAAAGCTATTTCACGGCAGATAAAGTTCGCTTTGACAATTAGTAAACAGATAAAAGGTCAACTACTTCTACAAAATAAATTCTATTAAGGATTCGTTAGCTAGAGACGAAAAATCAAATACGTATAAACAACGACTCATGAAACATGATTCATTACTTACAATTGCATCTAAAGATATATTATACACAGAAGAACTACTCTTTAGACTTAAAAATAAACTTCAAAATCTTTCGGAGCCTGTTGTCAGCGAACGTAGTCTATTAAAATACTCATTTCATCTGAAAGGTTAGAATATTAAAAATACAGCAAAGGTTAATTCGACATGAAAAGAAGCACTCATGTTCGCATCAAGTCCAAAAATCACAAGACCACAAACGTAACCATTTTATAAACAAACTTATTGCATAAGAAAACTTAAATTTGTGAATAAAGCTCATTAATAAACTCTTATATGTAAAAACATGAATATAACACTTTGTTGAAAATAAAATGACTAGAGGGCATAGAACAACCAAACATTCTCTGAGAATGTGAAAAGAGAAACAGCTCAATTACTATAAAATTTACTCTTTAATATGTAAGTCTCCAGCAAAACGTCAACAGCAACACACACGGCCTGTACAGCACCATGGACAGCTAATAGGTCTGAAATAGAAACATTCCCTTTTTTACTAAACTCCAAGTAAACTGGGATTTAAAATTAAATACGAATTTAAAGTTGTTTATAAAATTGTTTCAGATTACAGACAACGAGACGGATGCGAGAAAGTTAGCATTTCTAAAACCATTAGAAAGCATGCTGTCAATAAAAGCAATCTATAACCCCAAAATATTAAAAACATTTTTTTGAAGAAAGACTTCGTTTGTCCTACCTGAAAGAATTCGTTCACTTCCGCCTCAAGCCCTTCAAGATCATCCGCAGCGGACGGAGTATTTTTCAGAGTCAGGTCAGCAGTCAGCGTGCCCTCATTATAAGATCTGACGAACTTGACGTCACTAGTGCGCGAGCCCGTGGTCAGGTATGCGTCATAATTGTAAGTGCTGCGGAGAGTTCCCGCGCCCTCCACCTCTGCGTAATTTGGAGGAAGATACGCGCTGGGAATGGCTACAGCTCCATCAAACAACAGTCTGGGCTTTCTCCTGCGACAAAACCTCACGGCCAGGATGATGATGATGAAGGTCAGGAAGAAAGTGGAAACGGACACCAGCGCGATGATCAAATAAAACGTCAGTTTGGAGCTGCTCTCGTCGCGAGACATGTCTTTCAGTTCTGGAACTTCAGCCAAGTTATCTGATATTAGTAAATATAATGCGCACGTGGCTGAGAGAGAGGGCTGTCCGTTATCTCTCACGGACACGATGAGGTTCTGTTTCATGCTGTCAGATTCAGAAATGTCCCGCTGCGTCCTGATCTCTCCGCTGTGGACACCGATAGTGAAAAGTCCCGGATCAGTCGCTTTAATAATGTGATACGAGAGCCACGCGTTCTGGCCAGAATCCGCGTCCACGGCGATCACCTTGGAGACCAGGGAGCGCGCCTGCGCAGCTTTGGGTACCATCTCGGTCATGAAGGAGTTTCCTTCCGGAGAGGGGTATAATATCTGAGGGGAGTTGTCATTCTCATCCGTTATGAAGACACTCGCGGTCACGTTACTGCTCAGAGGAGGAGAACCGTTGTCTCTGGTTAACACGAGCACTTTGAAACTTTTCAACTGTTCGTAATCAAACGACCTCACGGCATGAATGACCCCGGTGTCTCCGTTAATGGATAGAAAGGAGGACACCGGTGCGCCATTGAGATCAGAGGAAAACAGAGAATAAACTACAGTGCCATTCTGTCTCCAGTCCGGGTCTGTAGCTGATACTGAACAAATAGAGGAGCCCGGTTTGTTATTTTCTTGCACATGAGCTCTGTAACTCTGCTCCTCCTGCACATTAATGATGCCAACCTCTGTACCGGTTAAGGCATTCTCAGGAACGGGGCTACGCAAAGATTTCACTCGTATCTCAGGAGCATTGTCATTAACATCTGCAAGTTCTATTACAACCTTAGCATCACTAGATAAACCAAATCCATCTTTCCCTTCAACTAGTATTTCGTAAATGGCTTCGTACTCAAAATCAAGTGCACCTGTAACCCGAATTTCACCTGTACTTTTATTCAAGTAGAAAAGCTTTCTAGCTCTTTCAGAGATACGACTAAACTCATACGTCACTTCTCCATTTTGTCCCTCGTCAGCATCAGTAGCGCTCACTGTCACCACTAAAGTATCTAGAGGAGAATTTTCAGGCAGACTGACTTTATAGACGGCCTGACTAAAGACTGGAGCATTATCATTAGCATCCAGCACAGTGACGTGTATGGCTACAGTACCTGATCTCGGTGGAGTGCCGCCGTCTACCGCAGTGAGAATTAATGTTACCTCGTTTTGTTGCTCACGATCCAATTCCTTTTCTAGCATTAATTCCAATTTTTTTTCTCCGTCTACATTTGAATTTATACTCAACTGAAAATTGTCATTCTTCTGTAGACTGTATCTCTGAATTGCATTCTGTCCTATATCAGCATCATGAGCCGCATTCAAACGATAGCGAGAGCCTCTAACAGCAGACTCCCTAATTTCAAATGTGATCAAATTCTTTGAGAAAACAGGCGAATTGTCATTAATATCCTGAATTTGAACTGAAACATGATGCAGCTCTAATGGATCCTCTAGCATGAATTCAAATTTTAAAACACATGAAAGCCTGTCCCCGCAAATCTCCTCTCTGTCGATTCTCTCCGCTACGGTCAGTTCTCCAGTATTCAGATTAATGTCACAGTATCGTTTTCTGTTACCTTCAGCATCAATGCGAGCCTTACGAGATGACAGTCTGTTCACATCAAACCCGAGATCCTTTGCTATATTTCCAATCACAGATCCGCGTTTCATCTCCTCCGGAAAAGAATAGCTCACGTCTCCATAAGCGGTGTGCGCCACCATCACGAAGAACAAAAGACCAAACATCTCAGCAGTAACACGGAACCTTTGGAATTCTTAAAATATTAACCAGAATTTGAATCCCGTACTATAATAATTGCCATGTACAAGAAAACAAGTATAAAATCCTATTTATAATAACAGATGTAGATTATATCAGGCAGTAAGTCGGTGTCAACGATTTTCTATGAAAAAAATAGTAGCTGAAAGCCCTATGTATGACATCACAAGCAGGGAGGAGAGATGTGTACTGAAGACAAACATTGTTTTGCAGGTAAACAGCGACACTATGAGTTAAAAGAAGAAACTGCCCAATGTTCATATTTCTGCAGGGTTGCATGTGAGTTATACAGTTATACAGCGAAACAACAGCCGGCAGCAACACTACCTGATGAGTGGGAGATAAACACGACCACAATATTTATAATATTAAAAAAAATATATAAAAATAACGAATGACAGTGCAGCACAATGGACAAAAACTGGAAAACCTGCTTAATGACAGTTCTAATCCGAGTAAAAGAGCGTTTAAAATTTGCTGACATAAACTGCTTTTATAAGCCAATTTCACAAAGAAGACACCGATGAGAAGGACGTCAAATTGCTTAAAAACAGCAGTGTTTTGTCTCAGATTCCGTTACATACTGATGTCGCAAAAATAAAATGAGTTTGAAAGAACTATTAGACAACAGAACGAGATATATCAGATTCCTTTCTTTAAAAGATAACCAACCAGCTTTAAACGTTTAGAATCTAACAAATAGCTACACAGTATTTGGCATGTATCAAGGCATATATAATTGTCTCATTGACAATTTGTAAAACAGAAAGAAGGGGCAGTCACTTAAGCATAATTTATATTAAGGATTCCTTAACTAGCAACGAAAAAAAAAATAATAAACTCGTGAACCAGGATTTATGACTTTAGATTTTTTTTTGTATGGTCATGTTTGAGCAATTTAAAGAGAACAGATAAAGCTAGCTACTTCTAAGCCTTCAAAATGAGCTTCAAAATTTGTAAGAGCCTGTTGTCAGTGCAGACAGTCCATTAAAATAAACACACTAATTTAATCTGTAAGGTTAGATAGAACATTAAAAAAGTAAGAAAAGAAACGTTAAATCGCAAAGCACCACCCATGTCAGCATCAAGTCCTTCCAAAAAAAAATAAACAAATAAATAAATTAATATCACAAGATGCACAAATGTAACCATGTCATAAAGAATACAACAGCAACAAACACGGCCTGTACAGCACCATGGACAGCTAATAGAAATATGCTCTTTCTACTAACTATAGTGAACTGGGATTTAAAAAGAAATACGAAATTAAAGTAGTTTATAAAATTGTTTCACAGAACTACGCAATGGATGCAAGAAAGTTACCATTTCTAAAACCATTAGAAAGTATGTTGCCAATAAAAGTAACTTGCAAACCCAAAATATTAAAAAGATTAAAAAATATATATACTTCGTCAGTCCTACCTGAAAGGAATCGCTCATTTCCGCATCAAGTCTTTCAAGATCATCCACAGCGGACTGAGTCTTGTTCAGAGTCAGGTCAGCAGACAGCGTGCCCTCATTATAAGATCTGACGAACTTGAAGTCACTAGTGCGCGAGCCCGTGGTCAGGTATGCGTCATAATTGTAAGCGAAGGTACAAGTTTAAACGGGACGTTTTGCTGAATGGAGCAGCGCACCCGTCCGTTATTCTCAGAGTCTCTGTCCTGCACATTAATGATGCCAAACTCTGTACCGGGTAACGCATTCTCAGGAACGGGACTGGTGAGAGATTTAAGTATTGTTATAGGGGCGTTATCATTGACATCAATAACATCTATTAATACGGTGGAGTAACTGGCTAACCCTTGACCATCTTTAGCTTGAATGGGAAGTTCAAATGTACTCTCTATCTCATAATCAATCAGCCCGGTTAATTTAATCTCGCCAGATACTAAATCGATGAAAAATAATTGCTGGACCTTTTGAGGTAAATGACCAAACGCATATGTGACTTCTCCATTTTGTCCCTCGTCAGCATCAGTAGCACTCACTGTCACCACTAAAGTATCTAGAGGAGAATTTTCAGGCAGTCTGACTTTATAGACGGCCTGACTAAAGACTGGAGCATTATCATTAGCATCCAGCACAGTGACGTGTATGGCTACAGTACCTGATCTCGGTGGAGTCCCGCCGTCTACCGCAGTGAGAATTAATGTCACCTCTGTCTGCTCCTCACGATCCAACTCTTTATTCAGCACGAGTTGGCCATATTTTCTTCCATTTGCCCTGGTTAGTACATTAAGAATAAAGTGTTCATTGTTTTGAAGTGTATATGACTGCACTGCATTCCGACCAATATCCGCATCATACGCCTCTTCTAGTAAGTATGATGAACCTTTGCCTGCTGATTCTCGTATTTCGAATTTAATAACACTTTCTTTGAACTGAGGTGAATTGTCATTTATGTCCTCAATATTGAGAATGAAGTGATGCAGCTCTAAAGGATTTTCCAGTACAAACTCATTTTTAATAACGCATGAAGCTTTCTTCCCGCTAATCTCCTCTCTGTCGATTCTCTCCGCTACGATCAGTTCTCCAGTATTCAGATTAATGTCACAGTATCGTTTTCTGTTACCTTCAGTATCAATCCGCGCTTTTCGAGATGACAATCGGTTCACATCGAGCCCGAGATCCTTTGCTATATTTCCAATCACAAATCCGCGTTTCATCTCCTCCGGAAAAGAATAGCTCACCTCTCCATAAGCGGTGTGCGCCATCAGCACGAAGAACAAAAGACAAAACATCTCAGCAGTAACACAGAACCTTCGGAATCCTTGAAATATTAATTAGAAATTGAATCCAGTATCACCACGCACAAGAAGCATATAACCCAATTTAGAATAGACGTAGATAATATCAAGCAGTCAAGTCACTGTCGACGATTTTCTATAACGAGATGGGATGAAAGCCCTATATGACATCACAAACAGGGTGGAGAGATGTGTACTGAAGACACGCTGTTTTGCAGGTAAACAGCGACACTATGAGTGAAATGAAGAAACTACATAATGTTCATATCTCTGACAGGATTATGTGTGGGTTATAATCCTTTAGCAATACCACAGCCTGCAGCAACATGCCCTGATGAGTGGAAGATAAACACGACTACAATATTCATTATATTTCAATCAATCAATTA